TGGTAAGTATATTGTGTGTATATATATATATATATATATATATAGCTTATGTCAATACGATTGTATATAATATTTGAAGTGTTGATGTGCAAATAAAGAAATATTAGAAATCCTTAATTTGCCTAGTAGTTATCGATAATTATAGTTCGCGACAACTGCTAACGATATTATATTCTTGCAAAAAAGAATATTCCGTAGATATTAATTCAGAATTTCTTATTCAGGGAGGGCACGTGTATTTGATTTTAAATCAAAGGTATAAAAAAGTTAAAATATTTCTTCGAGGAATTCTTCACTTTTTTTTATTCCATCCTAGTTCGACAATCGCACTTTGCTTCGATCGAATCCTTCAAATTTTCCATCTATCCACTTTCAGAACACTGTGACACATCGCTTTCATCGCGCCAAAAAAAAAGAAAGAAAGAAAGAAAGAATAAAGCGACGAGGATTGAATGAGGAAGAGAGGGAAAAGAAAGTGTGTCGCAAGCTGAAAAAGTTCGATCAGAGCGACACGATGCCCGTGAATGGGTATGCCATTGGACTGCATTGTCCGGCCAATGAAGAAAGTTATGCAAAAGCGCGAATCCAATCGTTTCCTCGTACGACTGGGAAGAGGAGTGCGGTGCGCGTGGATCGTGACAATTGTTAACTATGTGTGTGCGTGCGCGCGTGTGTGTATGTGCGTGTGTTCCGTGCCGGTGAATGCGAGCCTCGTTAACGTAGAAGTGAGAAAGTGTGTTCACGAGGTTTATTGTCTCGCGATAATTCGGAATGTCGCGTATGCAACGGTGCGTAAAGCAATTAAGAAATGATGGGCGAGTGAGTTGAATCATCCGAGAGTTTATTATTTTTTTTTTTTAGCGCGGATGTTAAACGTATTTTCTTTCTTGTTTTTTTTTTTTTAATCGAATGGATAAAGAATGAGGGGATAAATTGATAATAAGTTGGAACGGTTTGATTTTTCGTCGTAATTTTTTTTTTTTTTTTTTAAGTAACAAATTTTAAGTCTTGAAGAAATCTCGATTTCTCAAGAAATTTTTCGAGGTCAAGTTTTTGGATGGATTTTTTTTTTTTTTTATTAATTTAGTATTGTACATTTTCGAGATACGTCTTGCAAGATCCTCCTCCTGTCAATTAAATTTCAAAATTCCCGCCAGTATTAAATGGCCAGTTGACGCGATTATTAGAAAGTCATGGTTCAATATTTGCTTTGTGCACCTTACATAATTACACGTGTGTTGGGTTAAGGTTATTTTGAAGAATCTATTTGGGAATCGTCTCAAGGCCATTTCAAGGTCAATTGGATTTTTTTCAATGGACTATACCCGTTTCTATGAAAATAGATAGGACCATAACCTTAACTGGTTCAAGTTCACGAATTCGTCAACTTCTAAAATGGCTTACTTTGCGTGTGTGTGTGTGTGTGTGTGTATTTTTATATTTTTTATCGAAAAATGTTACGTGTCATATGTATTAACTTGCGATATTTAAGAAAAAAAAAAACAAATGATAAACGAACAGAAAGAAAATTTAATCAATCTAAACGTTACTTCTTCCATATGTTATTAAATTAAATAATTTCGTACGATTGATAATGTCTTTTTCTTTCTTTCTTTTCTTTTTTTTTTTTAAATTCACGTCTGTTTGCAGATTCACACCGAGGCGCACACATGAAGCAACGATTCAAATGAAATAACTCGATGAAATCGGTGAACCGACATTCATCATGATTCGAATAGGAATTATTTGATTCGTCTGTCATCGTTTCAATCAATAATGGCGTCGTCTAGTTCCATTATCGAAGAGGCGGACCCTAGGTGAACCCTCGGGGCACGGGACCTTCGATCATCAATTACAATAATGCACTTTATCAATAATAATGAAATCGATCCTTTATAAACCATCGTATCGTTCATTCTTCGAAGAAACGAATTGAAACAAAAATTCTTTAAATTCTAAAAATAAGCAAGATAAAGAGGAAAACAAACAAACAAACAAACAAAAAAAAAACGAAACTCTGAAACTTCGAATCTCAAACGACCAATAACTAAGATCGAGAAAAAAAAAAGATTTAAAACAAAATTGGAAGAAACGAAAAATGACGTTAATAAGCACAGCGACACTGGCCGTGAAAGCTGCCACTCTTCTCCTCGGAAAATTGGCCATAATACCGATCATCATAGCGGCCCTCGCTTATTACAATTACGATCTAATGGATCCTGAGAATCAACCGAAGGTTGCCAAGAACTTAAGAAGGGAGTACGACTTCGTGGTGGTGGGTGGTGGCTCGGCCGGAAGCGTGGTGGTGAACAGGCTCACCGAGAATCCGGGATGGAGCGTGCTGTTGTTGGAGGCTGGAGGCCACGAAACCGAGATAACCGACGTCCCTATACTGTCCCTCTACTTGCACAAGAGCAAACTGGATTGGAAATATAGGACGCAGCCGCAGGACTCGGCTTGCCAGGCGATGGTTGACCGACGGTGCTGTTGGACCAGAGGGAAGGTGAGATATTTTCTCCCCCCCCCCCGTGAAATGAGATGAAATTTAGAATTTGGAATTATTTTCGGGGAACGAGAGAAAAAAAGAAATGGTTTGGAAAAATTGTTGAAGCGTGTAATATGATATCGTGTGTAATTAATCGATTGGTTTTCTTCAAGAATCTCCGATTCCTTTTTATTTTTCTCTCGTTTATTTAATAAATTGATTTATTTAATAATAAATCAATCAGTTATATTTGACACCCATTCCTCGGTGATCGGTGATCGTCTTACTCACGTCTATTGGAATGTAATTAGGGTTCAGTGTCAGGTGAAAGTAAGAACAACCAAGTTCCAAGGTTAGTCCCCAACTTTCGATTTTTTTGATGAAGAGAAAGAAGAGGAATCAGCAAAAATGTATCTTAAGGAAAAATCGTTATACGAATATTTATTCTCGAGCAAGCAAGTGTCTCTATTATCCGATCAATCTTAATTATCTTATTATATTTTTTCATTCTTGCAATCATTGATTATATTCGTTTCGAAAAATTTTTTTAAAAATATGGATAAAGGTTTTTAGGAATGAAAAAGTAAAAGTTAGTCGAAAGAAGAAAAAAAATTCCTTCTTAATTTTCAAAATTATTTCAGGTTTTGGGAGGCTCGAGTGTGCTGAACACAATGCTTTACATTCGAGGGAATCGACGAGATTTCGACCAATGGGAAAGCTTCGGCAATCCTGGTTGGGGCTACGACGATATACTTCATTATTTCAAAAAATCTCAAGACCAAAGGAATCCCTATTTAGCTCGTAACACTAAATATCACAACACAGGTAAGTTTCCTTTCCTCCATTATATGTTTTCATCAAAAGTCAAACTCTGAATCAATCTCTAGCCAATTAAAAAAAATATATATATACCAAATTCAATTACAATCCTCGAATCTTTCTATTGTCTTTTTATCAATAACAAAAAGTGAGAAAAACAGTATACATAAGTATACCCCTCCCAAAAAAGAAAAGAAACTAAAAATTCGTAAAAATTTCCCATGAAAGGAGGATACTTGACGGTGCAAGAATCTCCCTACAACACGCCGTTGGGTATAGCGTTCCTCCAAGCGGGCGAGGAGATGGGCTACGATATAGTCGACATAAACGGGGAGCAGCAGACAGGTTTCGCCCTCTACCAGTACACTATGAGGCGGGGGACGAGGTGCAGCGCGGCGAAAGCGTTCATCAGGCCTATCCAGCTTCGGCCCAATTTCGACCTCTCTTTGTGGAGTCACGTGACCAAGATCCTGATAGATCCGCGCACGAAACGGGCTTACGGCGTCGAGTTCATCAGGGAGGGCAGGAGAGAGGTGGTGCGCGCGAGGAAGGAGGTGATATTATCGGCCGGGGCGATAAACTCGCCCCAACTGTTGATGCTGTCCGGGATCGGGCCGAGGCGCCACCTCGAGGAGATCGGGATCCCCGTGATCCACGACTCGCCGGGCGTTGGCCAAAATCTCCAGGACCACATAGCCGTGGGCGGCCTCATCTTCCCCATAGACTATCCGATCAGCATCATGCTCGACCGTGTGGTGAACCTGAATTCGGCGCTCAGATACGCGATCACCGAGGACGGGCCGCTGACCGCGAACGTGGGCCTCGAGACGGTCGGTTTCATCTCGACCAAGTACGCGAATCGAAGCGACGACTGGCCGGACATCGAGTTCATGCTCACCTCGTCCTCGGTCAACTCGGATGGCGGCACCCACGTGAAGAACGCGCACGGGTTGACGGACGAGTTCTACAACGAGGTGTTCGAGAGCGTGAACAGGCGCGACGTGTTCAGCGTGTTCCCCATGCTGCTCAGGCCCCATTCGCGCGGCTTCGTCAAGCTGAAGTCGAGCAATCCCCTCGACTATCCTCTCATGTATCACAACTACCTTACCGACCCACGCGACGTCGACGTGTTGAGGGAGGGAGTGAAAGCGGCCGTCGCGTTCGGCGAGACGAGCAGCATGAAGAGGTTCGGCGCGAGATTCCACAGTAAACCCCTGCCCAATTGCAAGCGGATACCGTTGTTCACGGACGAGTATTGGAACTGTGCCATTCGCCAATACACGATGACCATTTACCATATGAGCTGCACGGCTAAGATGGGGCCACCGACCGATCCCACGGCCGTCGTCGATCCCGAGCTCAGGGTGTACGGGGTGAAGGGGTTGAGGGTGATCGACGCGTCCATCATGCCCACGATCACCAGCGGAAATATAAACGCGCCTGTGATAATGATCGGCGAGAAGGGGGCCGATTTGGTCAAGAAGCACTGGTACAGAAGGAGCAGGGCTAACGAAACGGGTAACGCCATCTACTAGTTCACCGAATTGTGGATAGAAACGGTGGACTCTGTGTATATCTAGATTCAGTGGTTCTCAACCAGTTTAGTGTGCCTCTCCCGAAATGAAAATTATTTATTTATTTTTTTTTTTTACGTTTCTTTGTCAATCGATTCGCTATAAAATTAACCCCTTTCTGGCTATGGGCCTGACCACTGCGAATATGCTAATTTTACGAAATATATTATAGGCAATAAATCGATCAATAAACTAAATAAAATTCTCTATCTTATTGTCGGTGCGTCGCCAAATTTTTAAATTGTTAAAAGTGTACCGTGACGAAAAAGAGAATCACTGATCCAGGTGAAGAAAGATGAGATCGAAAGAGAAGATACATTTACTTTGTTGTTGGGCATTACGTTTCCTCGACTCAAAGGATATTTTAATTTAAGATGCGTCTCGAGGTGTGGATTTGATTTAATCTTTGTGAAATGTAATCGTTTAAGGGAATTTATTTATTGTAAGCTGTTGGACTTTTATATATGTATATATATTTTTTGATGCGGGTAGTAGGATACATTAGGATTTATTTGGAAATCGATAATAAGTTTATTATTCTTTTCTTATATAGAAAATTGAAACGTGTATATAATTATTGTAATATCGAGAATGAAAATGGCGAGAGAACTATTGGTTTACAATTAACCCTTGAACAACGTGAAGTCGGTGTAAAATTTATGTAAACATTACATAATAAAGTAAGTTGCAGAGAAGAGAATGTTATTAAAAGGATCACTAAAAAGCATGCGTATATATATGAGCTATTTGTTGCTGCATAAATTTATTCATAGAATAAATTTCTTACAATTTGTATATACGAATCGATAATATTCGATCAATTCGTGCAAGAGAGTTTTGATTCAACCGATTTGTGATAATTGCAAAAAGTTGTCGCAACTGGTAGAATTTTATAATTTTATGCGGCTACTTTCTCGTTCGACAAATGAAGTAAAAATAAACCAAATAAAATTAACTCGAAATAAACAGGCAGGCCTGCCCTCATATTTCTCAAGAGAAAAATTCACGGTGGTTGCAGCAACATTTTCAATGAATATTTACCCACTTGGTGAAATCGGGTCAATGGATTTTTATCGTTTATTACCATGATATAAATTTTTTTAATTGCAGTGAATGTCGGTATTAAAAAAAAAAAAAAAATACCAAAAAGTATACTCAACTCGATATTTGTAAAAATATTTAAATATAAATTTCCGGTTGTGCGTAATTGCTAGAATTAAAATATCATACTTTAGAAATATCAGAAATATGTGTGTCAAAATTAAAATATTTCCAAAGTACAAATTAAAGAATTTTTTTAATTTTTTTTATTATCCAATCTTCGAATATAATCTTAAGGCCTTTCGAGCACGTTGTTCAAGAGCGAATTGTATCTCCCTTTTTTACATTTTTTTTTTTTTTCCCCTAAATGATTAGTACGCTCGTACGCTACAAAAGAAAAATTGTAATAAGTTTAACCGGTTCATTATCAAAGATCAGGTGTCAGATGTAGAAAAAGACGAAGGATAATATTATCGTATACAAAATCGGACGAAACTTGACGGTGCGACACAGCAGAATTGCGATAAAACGAATTAGCCCGCCAGAATTAAGGAATAGTTAATGAATTAAAAATCGAGAAAGAGCGTGTGTTAGTTAAGAACGATATAAGGATAGAATAAATATTAATTTCAACGAACGAAAAGAGACAAATGCGCTACTTGTGACCAAATAATTAATATATATACTTTTCCTATATCTTAAACTGTTTTGTTTCGTAAATACTCGTTACAATATTTATTTATTTATTTTTGTTGTATTTATGCTAAGAATTTAATTTTAACAAATCTATTTATATATAACAATAATAATATTTAATTTTATTAAGTAAATTAATCCTCTACTTTTATTACTTCGATTTATTGCAACGAAAAAAAAAAAAAAAAAAAAGATATTATTAGAGATATTTTGTAAAAAGAGACAAAATTTTTTCTTTTTTCCTTTCTTTAATTTCCATGAAATAAAATTGTAAAACGACATTGCGCTTTCAAACTTCTTTTATACCGGAAAATAAATCATCCGTTTTAATTGTCGATTCAAGGATCGAAGAAATTTTAAACGAAAAATTTCGTTAGAATGGCAGAAAAATTGGAGAAATTAAAGATAAATATGTTACAAACTCTAGCGGAAACAATTTTCGATTATATTTCGTGTTATTTCTATAGAGAGAATAATGTATGTATACAGCTTTCTCGAGATTGTTTTTATTGACTTCTTGTTGACTATTGTTCTATAAGCAATTTTCTATAAATAATTATATTTTGTGTGAAATTCTCAACGTAATTACGAATGCCGATAATTTTTATCGTGTAAAAATATTTGAACGGAATAAACGTCATACGGTATAAATTTGTAGCCTGTATTTCTTTCTCTTATAATACAAAAATTAATACACTGTGTATACTCGATATTTTATTTAATACTTGGCGCATTTAATATATGTTTCCTTATAAAAACGTCGCAACGAGTTTATTTGTCTGTTATCACTTGAAAAATGATAAAGAAAAGAATTTTTCGTGATCACGAGAAAAAAACTTGATTTTTTGGATGATGAATCATCGTTTCTCTTATACCAGAATTGGTATAATTTCGTAACGAGTTATTTGCGTATTTTAAAAAGCGAACGAATTTATGAACCGATCTGAATGTAACATGGTGAACGATGAGATTTTGATTTAAACTAATTTATATAAAAAAAATTATGCATCAAAAAGAGAGAAAAGTCTCGCGAAATCGAGTATCATACTCGTTTTATTGCGTTCAATTATTATTATTCAATTATTGAAAAAAATAAAAGCAAGAAAGTTGGCGAAAAATTTTCGTCTCCTTATTTGTATACTATACATGTGTATATATATATATATATACATATATATATACCTTTTAAACGTCCTTGAACACATCGCGTTGATTCGCCTAGCGAATGAAAGTAAATTTCACGTGTAACTCGTTATGTAACTTGGCGCAACGATAATAAGAAATTTTCTCTGCCTCTCGATTTTTTAGATAAAAATTTTTTTAAGCTACTTCGTATACAGAATGTTGAAATAACGTCGTATATGTATATTTGATAAATCACGTTTACGATCATTTGGTTTCTATTATTTTTTAAACATCTCTCCACTTTCTCCTTCATTTTTTTCTTCGTTGTATTCCACGTTATATTTTTTCATCCATTTTAAATACTTTTATGAATCAATAAAATTCACGAGGGAAAATATCGTAGTGATATGTATTTCAATGATGAGATGTATATATATTTTTACGATTTAATTATTGGAAATTAATGTAACGACGATGGTAACGTATTTACACTGTTGAAAAAAAAAAAAAAAAATTTGAACTCATCGTTAAACAGGGAAATTAAAAATGCTATGTTATTTTTCTTCACGAACGAAGACGGAAAACGGGGGTCATCTTTCTCGTCAATTTGTACAAATTGTTTATAAAGAAAGTTATATAACTCGAAATCTTGCAAAATAAGTGTATTCCGCAATAAAAATAATTTCAATGAAATTTAGAAACGTATTTATATAACTAATCCAAAACAAAAACAAAAACAAACGGAAAAAAAAAGAGGGGAAAAAAGGAAAAAAACACCTCTTAACGGAATATAGATAGAAAAAAGGCAAAATCATGAATTTCTCCGTCTTGAAAAGTTACACCATCGGCAATTTCTCGAGCGATAAACAAGAAGCGAGATGGTAAAAATCTAAATATGGCCACGATTAATACGATTAACTACGGCTAATTAAACGATCAATCCTTCATAATTATTATAATAATAATCCATAAATAAATCCATGATTTACGTTCGTGAAAGTAGACTATGTGAATTCCACATACTTCATATGCAGCGACCTCTGAAGGAAGGATGACGAAGAATGAACTACAGGACAGATACTACCTTTCTTAAAAATTCGGGTATCATTCAATCCTCAAGTGGAACAGATTAGGACTAATATACGGACCGATACGAATTGACACGAACTAGTACGAATTAACACGAATATTGAAACGAGTTAATAGGGGTTGGAACAAATTGAATACGTAAGTGAAATTCATTATAGTGATAGTATAAATTTATTGTAATGCAAATATCTTACATTTTTTTTTTTCGTGAGAAAAGAAAATTATTGATTAAATTATTTGAAATGTTAATTTCAGCAAAATATAAATTTAAAGTTCATCGTCAAGTCGATAATAAAAAAGTTAATCTACAAATTCAATATTTGCATATGCGTCAGCAATTTATCTATTCTTTTTATAAATGCATTGCAGAAACCGATATTCATAATGTATGTACAACGAATGAATAAGTTAATTAAAAATTAATAATTAAAAATTACTTGTTCATGCATTTTTATGAGCTTGAAATCCTTTGGAAATCCGTGAAATATGAAATTGAAATAGAAAATAATTTTTGAATATCGATAGATATTAAATGTAAGGCTGATAAAAAACACGGTTTTTTTTTTTTTTTTTGGGAATCGATATTTCTGAAACACGAAATTCCGTAAGATATATTGATAATAAAATGCGTGCAACTAGACGATCTTTCTTAACCGATAAAGAAGTACTCTGAAATATCATCCATTCTTATTTCGATCACGACTTTTACCTTCTTCTTTTTTTTTTTTTTTTATTTTTACAATACATTTATATCGTATTTTTGTATCTTGATAAACAAAGTATATAAAGATCGTGTTAAAGCAACATAATTAATAGAATTATGAAATTAGAAAAATTTTTTAAACAAATAAAAACTTCCAAATTTTTAAATTTTCGAGTATCTTTTCAAGTCACGAGTTGTTAATCTTATAAAATTTACACAATTTTCTTACGTTTAAAAAACAATGAATTTATTAAACAAATCTAGAACGCAATCAGAGCGTGTAACTATTTGAATAGAGGTATTCTAGAAAGTACACGTTTCCGGAGCATACGCGTTATCAAGTTGCTTTCGATATTGTTCCAAAAGAAAAAAACATCATTGAACATTTATAAAATATAACATCCATATTACGCACGATGAACTCCTTCTATTTCTCTTTTATTTTAACAACAATACGAAAGGGTCGTGAAATCGTGATTTCACCGATCTAATTAATTATCTGATGAAATCGAAAAGATTGTAACATTTGATATGCAAAAAAATGCATATCTTTATGAAATTTTTTTTTCGCATAATTTTTTTTTACTACTACTTGATTTAGTAAAAAAGTTTTTGCTACGTTACTCAATTTTAATTCAATAATTTTTTTGATAAAAGAGTTTTAAGTTTAGAACACGAATCGATTTTGTGGAATAAGGAAACTTTTATGTCCAGTAAAAAAGGATCTTTAGCTATTCTTGATTCCGATTCATATAAGAGAATTGCTCAAGAAAATGAATCAGTTATTTGCATATATCGTAAATATTCTTAATTCCCTTGCTAACATTTTATAATTTTGAAATGTTAATTTACATATTTAAAAATTATTCGAATAACGAATATTCAATTCCTTGACTTATTATATTTTTGAAAAATTAACCGGTTAAAAATTTACAAAAATCACAATCATAATTTTAAACCAGAACAAACAATAAGTACAATTAGTAAAATCACATCATCATCTTTCGCGACCTATCATTCTATTATTCTTATAATTACTAACAAAAACTTAATAACAACAACAACAACAAAAAAACAAATCTAACTACTTCTCAACATAATCTTAACTTCCCTCCATTGCGCGCGAACAATTTTAAGAGCGCCATCCTGAGGCCATCGCGCGAATTAACAGAAAAATGACGATCTCTTTCACCGAAAGAGATTTCGATCGAAAGTCGAGGTTAAAAGAAAATACGAAATGAGAAACCGGAATTATAAACGAATATAGACGAATTATTCGTAAAGGTATGTCGAAGTGACCATGAACGGAGTGTGGATTGTGAAAGAAGAAGAGAGAGGTGAAAGTATCGAACACGGTTCGATAAACGAAAATCGAGTGCGACTGCCGCCATGAAAGCAAAGAGAAAGACAGGTCAGGCGCACGCCGAGAGTTTTAATACACGCGCGTTGCTACTATGCATGATGGAATTCGGTTACCTTTATGGCGGACGTTGGGACGTTTCCCATAATGGCGCGGTGCCACTCGTAGAAATAACATTTTTCTCCCGAGTAAGTTTTAGTGGCTCGGATGAGGCATCGAGGAAAATTGAACTCGGTTGATTGGGATCTCGTGGCGTGATATTGGCTCGATGGATTGTGGATATAGTTAGGTAAGTGGGAGAAAGAAAAAAAAAAAAAAAAAAAATAAATAATAATAATAATAATAATAATAATTCGAACTATTTAATCCTTGTATCGATGGGAAGAAAAGTTTTTTTTTTTTAATTTCTGATTCTAATAATAAAATTCGATAGAATTGTCTACACTTTGAATATAATTTTAATAAATAACGATCGATCGAATTTGAAAAACGGAACAAGTCTAAAAAAAATAATCAAAGTTACACAACAATTTCTGGTTTTAATAATTTATACATTTGAAAATAATTTTGAAAAGAAAATAATAAATTTAATTTAATCGATGATAAAAAAAAATTATCTTTTCACACGAGATTGTAAGATTAAATTAATTATTTTGATATAGGTTATTTTTCTTTTGCTCGAAGCATTGAAGAAAGAAACAAAAATCTAATGGCGAATAAGAATCCACTTTGCGATCTTATCATTCAGGAAGGAAGAAACAAATTCACAAAAGAACGTGGTGGGAGACAAGGTAAACCAGTTAGTTGCAGAGGTCAAAAGTAAGAACTATTGAGTAATACTATATCTATTCGTTATTAATTTTCACTCTCAGTTAATTTTCACTCGCAATCAGTGTTTTTCCTCACTCTCATTTTTTCGTTAGCAACGCCAGCCCACAAAAATTTTTATGTACAAAGACTGGAAAGATCGTACAAACGATCGTGAGACAAGAGAATAGATAATTTGGTGAAAAGCTCGTCGGTAATGAAGTGAAATTCTAGTGTAATTCTTTCTTTTTCACGTGTAATTCAACGAATAGTGATTTTTATGTTTTGGAAAATTTTATCTCGCCTTATTGTCGAGTGAGGTGTTTCGAATTTTTCTATTTTTATTGTGAAAAAGAAGAAGAAAAAAAAGAAAATATTGACACAAATCAGATTTTCTGGTAATTAAGTTTTTTATTAATCATTTGGAATTATCGAAATTATTTAAATTATTTCTTTATCGATCAATATTCAAGATAAATGTTTAAGGAAATTTTTCGAATTCAATTTCGAATCAATTTCTTGATTTTACATTAAATGTATAACTCTCAAATTAATACATTTGTTAAATAACAATTTTTGTATATAATATTATATATATATATATATATTATATTTATATATAATTTTTTAAATTATGAAATATGTTGATTCGATGATAATATTTAATTGTATCAATTATAAAACTAATATTTCATATTTACATGCACATATATATTTTTTTAATATATGATTATTATACAAATATTTAAATCAAACATAATTACAATTACATAAATCAAATATATCAAATTGCTTATGAATTATTAATATAAAATTATCATAATATCCTCGATTTTTTCATTTTATAAAATTATATATAAAGATGCATAATTCTCCGATTATCATAACAATTTAATTAATTATCATTAATTGTCATAAAAAAAATACTATAACAAATATAATGTTTATTAGTAAAAAATAAATTATTATATGATTATTATACGATTCATCTATTTTTTTTCACTCATATTATATTTTTTCATTCATACGTGGTATATATGTAATATCATTATCATGGACTTCGTAGAAAAAAAAAATGTTAATTTTATTATAATATATATATCTTATTGATTTCAGTAGAATTTAATCAGATCAATTTCATTATTTAGATACTTGAACGTGTGACTAGTTGTTTCGTATAAATTTTCTTTAAAAATTATATTTAAATATTTATAAATTATCGCTCATTTAAAATAAATCATATAAAATTTCACTTTATTTTAGATAATTTGGAGTTTTTAATATCGAGTTTGCCTTATTGGATCATAAGGCAATTGAATGTGTCATTGAAGAGGTGGAATTAAAAAAAAATGGCATTAACTACTTTGCTGAGTACTACATCGATTCTTGGATTTACCTTGATTCCTCTTCTAGCTATCGGTTTAACCATATACAAATACAATCAAGAGGATCCAGAATCTCATCCTTTTGATACAGAACAGGTTTGATTTAAATCTCTATCTCTAATTAAATACACTCAAACGAGAAATTATTTCTTTTTCAAAAATATTTGAATAATTAATACATTGTATTACTTAATCGAATCTACACTTTAGAATTTAATTAAATCGATCTTTTCTTCGAAAAATCCACGATCCGTATTACCTACGATCGATAAAACAGATGAAATAGTCGATAACTAAATAAGATTTTTATTATTTCCACTTATATGTTTCAAACAATCTTTTTTTCTCTTTTGAATCCTATGCATTTGCAATTATTATTATACCGCAATGTTAAAATTAATTTCTAATTTTCATTTCAGCTTTTACGAATGTACGATTTTATAGTGGTTGGCGGAGGAAGCGCCGGTGCAGTGATCGCATCGAGATTGTCAGAGATATCTAATTGGACCGTGCTACTCTTGGAGGCAGGAGGCGACGAGACCGAAATTTCCGATATTCCTTTATTGGCTGGTTATACCCAACTGACAGACATGGATTGGAAATATCAAACTTCACCGCCGAGCTCATCGGCCTATTGCCTCGCCATGATCGGTGACAGATGCAACTGGCCACGAGGAAAAGTGCTCGGCGGGAGCAGTGTATTGAACGCCATGGTTTATGTCCGGGGTAATCGGTAATTCAGGATCAAATTTTTTGGCTTGCTATAAATATAACCAAAAAGATCAATACGTAAATTAAATTATCGATTTTTCTCTTAGAAAATTATCACAAATTTTTTTTCAAATTCGTTTTTAGCTTCTATATTACAAATACAAAATTATTCCAGCCACGACTACGACAATTGGGCCAGACAGGGCAACACCGGCTGGAGTTACGAGGAGGTGCTTCCATACTTTCTGAAATCCGAGGACAACCGGAACCCGTACCTGGCCAAGACCCCGTATCACAACACGGGCGGTTATCTAACCGTCCAGGAATTCCCGTGGCGGAGTCCATTATCGATCGCGTTCCTCCAAGCCGGTCAAGAGCTCGGCTACGAGAATCGCGACGTGAACGGCGCGAATCAGACCGGGTTCATGCTGACCCAGGCAACGATCCGGCGGGCCAATCGTTGCTCCACGGCCAAGGCGTTCCTCAGGCCGGTGAAGAACAGGAAGAACCTTCACATAGCGATGAAAACGCACGTGTTGAGAGTGATCTTCAACGAGGGGAGGAGGGCCATCGGCGTCGAGATTCTGAGACACGGTCGCCACCAAGTGATACGCGTCAGACGCGAGGTCATTCTGTCTGCGGGGGCGATCAACACTCCCCAACTGTTGATGCTGTCCGGTATAGGGCCCAAGGAGCACCTGGCCGAGTTCGGCATCCCCGTGATATCGGATCTCAGGGTCGGTGATAATCTTCAGGATCACGTGGGCCTCGGTGGATTCACGTTCATCGTGGACGAACCGATCAGCCTGAAGAGGGACCGTTTCCAAACCGTGCCCGTGATAATGCAATACATTCTGAACCAGAGGGGACCGATGACCAACTCCGGGGTGGAGGGCATCGCGTTCGTCAACTCGAGATACGCGGATAACGATTATCCCGACATCCAGTTCCATTTTCTTCCAAGCTCGATCAATTCGGACGCGGAACAGATCAGAAAGATTCTCGCGCTTAGGGACAGCGTGTACAACACGATGTACAAGCCGTTGAGCGGGGCCGAGACATGGTCTATACTTCCTCTCCTCCTCAGGCCGAAGAGTTCCGGTTGGGTACGGTTGAAGAGCAGGAACCCGTTGGTCTATCCCGACATCAATCCGAATTATTTCACTCATAGGGAGGACATGGATGTGTTGGTGGAGGGGATAAGGATAGCGATGCAGGTGTCGAACACGACCGCGTTCAGGAGATTCGGTTCGAGGCCGCACACGATCCGCATGCCCGGCTGTCACAAGTATCCGTTCGACACGTACGACTATTGGGAGTGCGCGATCAGACATTTCACGTTTACAATTTATCATCCGGTGGGCACGTGCAAGATGGGGCCAAGGATTGATCCCACGGCCGTCGTGGATCCCAGACTCAGAGTGTACGGAGTGAAGGGATTAAGGGTGGCCGACGGATCCATCATGCCTAAAATCGTGAGCGGGAATCCGAACGCGCCGATAATTATGATTGGCGAGAAGGCGAGCGATATGGTGAAGGAGGACTGGATGCGACGCTACAGGAACGAGAATCGATTCGTGAGAAGTTGACGGAATTTTTTTTTTTTTTCTATACAACGTTATATATTTAGCACGTTTGACGCGTGGTACGAGTTCGTTGGGATTTTTTTGTAAGCTCTTATCTTGCCGGCTAACTTCCGACTTCTCGACCACAATAAACATGAAGGTCAGTCATGTATCGAGGCTCGTATTGTTTACGTTTGGTTTACCACAAGGTCAGACTCGTGTCAGGCTCAAATTTCTTACCATGAGTCTCACTCGTTTGTTTTCTTTTTACTTGTCTGAAGAATAACAAAAAGAAGAGTGAAAAGAGACGAAAGTGAGTTGTAATTATTATAGCGGAAAGTTTAATATTGTAAATTTGGTAAGGTAAGAGAAGCATAAGTTTTTAAAAAATTCTTCGATTCAGAAGGAACAGCACGACGAGATACGTTTAACAATTTATTAATCGGAAAAAATCGTTCGAATTATTTTCGAAAAGACGGGTATCTTCGAAGAGAGATATCATTCCTTTCCTCTTTTTATCTTTCTAAAATTCCCTCGGAAAACAAAACGATACTCATCGATCTGTTTGTTTCCCGAGAGAAACTTTTTTTTGTTGGACAAACGGAGAGCAACGAGTAACACGTACGTAATCCGACTTAACTTTCAAGCACGACTTGCAAGGAAGTGTCAAACACACTTTCACGTTTACCAATGACTTGTGAAAAAACTTGGTATTAAAAGTTATTTAACACCGAATCGTCATTTGTATCTAATCACAAAGAATATTACATTAATAATAAATAAAAATAAATTATTTTCAAACAAATCAGGAACCCAGAATATTCAACTCTATTATGTTTTACCTTTTAATTATTTTTGTAATATAACAAAAGACTTATTGTATGTACATAATATATATATATAATACAATATATAATTTATATGAATAATATATATAATATATAATATAATTTATGAATATAATAATACGAATTTAATGATAATTTAAACGTGCCATTATTATGATAATTCTTGTAATAATAATTAATTCTTGTGAAGAAA